GTGAAAGGGCACCCTTTGATCTTGCTTACAAAGAAACAGAGGAGGATTACGATCCTCCAGAAATAAGGGTGAATTTGACCGAGGGTTACCCCGTATATTTTGCAAAAGTCGACAATAACCGGGCCCAAGGGGGCCAACGTGAAGGGATAAGTGTAAAAACTTAAGAATCCCTCGACGTGGGTGGTGATAGCTTCATCAGGTTCGGGAACCACCACATGTTTGTCAGCCCAGTTGTAATCTTTCTTGACTTCGGAGAGAATATCCTCGGTGATCGAGTAGATGTACCTCGAGACCTCCTCACACCGGCCTGGTACAGAGGAGGGCTTTTCGACTTTAAAATCAGCATTTACCGGGCATCCCCCCGGGATGAACATTTTTAGATGAGGTTCTAGTGTTGGTTCCTCGACACCAGTGCGTGAAGCGGTCTCTTCGGTAGCCGGCCGCGAGGTAGAAGGAGTTTTTTTAGGGGGAACGGTTTTGGAAGTTTTCGCCATTTCTTTATAGAGAGGAAATAAGGGAAAATAGGAAGTTAAATGAGTACACTCAGTTGTTTAAGAAAAGGTCGAATGAGAGTTCTTATAAAAAATCTCAAAGTAACCAGAATATAAGTACTTGGAAGTATTGAAATTTCTTAGGAACGACGGCAGAAAGTTTGAATGTAATGTTTGGATGAACAAATAAGGGGTATTTATAGTTCTCCAGCGACGGTTCATATCTAGGAATGGCCGACCAGCAACTGACAAGCGTTTAATGCCATTAAGACTTGACTGACGAGACGTTTCGACGATTTTGTCATTTCTGTCGGGTGATATCGAAGAAAGAATCGGAATCTCATGTCGTTTCTCGTCGTCTACTCTCCGAAAAATGAGGGGACTATCTGTGTACGGTTGAAATCGAGCTCGCCTACGGCATGACAGGTTAGGAACATGACAACCAAAGACTGAAGATCGACTCCGAGTCCCACCGAGCTAGAACCCGGGGTCATAACGCCTGCCTTCGAGAACATTGAGTCTGTAATCTCGGAGTCGACCTTAGTCCCGATTGAGCTCGAAGAAACGTTGTTAGTATAACCAACAGAAGGCCGAAATATCCGTGACCGGTCGGATATTACGACGGAAATCTCGGCACGTATCAACAAGGCACCAGCAATCATCAAATCAAGAGATTTTTTACCGTTTATAGAATTGTACCTAAAGTAGGACTCCTCTATTATATAAAGGGGGTCTGATAATTCATTAGACACATTGTAACACACATTCCAAAGATATATATATCATTATTATTTTAAGCTCTTGTTCCTCTGTATCCTGGCATCGATCGGAGCGTACCTGATTCGAGGGTGATCAATCTCCCAAGACTAAGATCGTTCAATTTGTGTGCTTGCATTTACTTTATCATTATTTATTTCAATTGCGATCTAATTTATCATTTTGTGTCAAATTAATCTACGTATCCTTAAAACTACTTATAAATTCAATTTTTATCCGATTTTGAGGGTAAACAATAAGTGCCGAACAATTAGGTACTCTTATATTAGGCAAAAGTATGATAAAACTTTAGGGAAATTAGTCAATCTATAGAAATATGTTACCCTTAATTTGGAGCTACATATTATAGCAACTGTAACACGTGGTAATTCAGTTCGTAATCTATTGCTCTAGATTATTATGTTCGGTCTACTAATTAAAAGTTTAATAGCCGAGTATCACGAGGAGAAAAATTAAAAGCGCCAACCGTTAATAAATGATGCACTAAAAGAGGAATTTCCCCTTTAAAAAATTTTTATTTTATTTTTGCTTAGGGTTCCATTTTCTGAATGTAAGATTACCTTTTGGCATTTATCACAGGTACTAGGCTGGCAAGAATGGCCCAACTGTACTTTACAAAATGAAGATTTTGCGTTTCTCAAACAAATGTTGTCAGGTCAGAAGTTGGTAAAATGGGCAGTTTTTATGATGGCATTTATTATTTACATAGTATCTGTTTTCACTGATCAGAATCTTAAATTATTGTATATAACAAACAGAAACGCCAGGAGGTGTCTTAATCGCATACATGAATCACAATTCACAGACTTCAAATTATTTTCTAATGTACCTCAGACAAAGATATATAGAGAGAGATATAGCACCTATATATATCAACTATAGTAATAAATTTAAAACCAATAAAACATTTTTTTAATTTGCTGCTTAATTAAGCACCCATTTAGGCAATTTAATTAATTATGGAATAATAAAACACCTTGACTTCTTGTCTCAGATACCCATAAGTAGAAGGCCTATACCTTTCCCACTTTCCAGGAGACTAAATTTGAATAAACTGACATAGGAAGTACTATATGACAGGATAAACATTGTAGGGCTAAAATTAATCAACTTATTCGCAAAGACGCAAATTTTCTGCTAAACTTTAGATTGTACATAATAAATAAGAGTACGGTTGTTTTCTTTTTTCCAGATTGTTACAAGTTACGTGAAAATAAAATCTCTCAAGTATCTATGAGAGTCATTTGACTGGGCAAAATGAATGATCTTTGATCATCAATAATATTATTGAATTAATGGACTAGCCATAATTCCGGATTATATAACTATCATAGCAAGGAATATTAGGGGAAAGTTAAACTTAAAGATCAGAAAAAACGAAAGAGAGATAGTAGTAATTAATAGCTACATTAATTGATTGATTAATTAGTCTTGCTCGTTGCTTTCCCTCCAGTTTTTAATAGCTTCAAAAACTGCTTCTGTCACAACTTGGGCATTGATGGTTTCTTCATTCTCCTCATTCTATAATTGGAAAAAGAATTTTGGCAATTAGTCCAATGCAAGAAATAACTGATTAGTCAAAGACTAAAGTCACATGAAAGAAGAGAAAACTATTCATGCAGGCGGTAGATTATAACCATCAAAAAATAGAGAGAAATAAATTAACATATATAGTTATTTTTGTAATATATGGACATTTTTAATTTATGAAGGCATGAAAATTACCTCTCCGCTAAAAGCTTCTAAACGAAAGGTGTCAGTGCAAGAAACCCTAGCTTCGAGCACGTTAAGGCCAAGCTCCTCAACAACTTCTAATATAGAAACAAGCAAGCCAGGGCAACTTCTTTCTGAATATACATTTACCAAGAAACCTTTTTCTAGGGTTTCCACTTCAACTTGCTGCAAAACATTTCCAGGAAATTAAATAAATAGAGGGAAAAAGAGTGGGAAAGAAAATATCACTTTTGAACAAAGAAAATGTCAAATTAGGTTATATACTAAGTAGAGAATCAAGTAAAGAATTATGGTGGAGAATATTACAGGCCAGGAAGAAGTCTTGTTGGTGGAACTTTGAGCAGGAGTAGTAGTAGTAGTAATGTCATGATTCAGCCTTTCCACTTTGTGTTTCAGTTCTTGAATATACTTTGACGCATCTACTATGATTGAGGTTTCACTAATCTGCATGCCATTAAAACACGAAAAATTAAATTAAGGATCAAAGGAAACCTCAAAGTTCGTTTTTGTACTTGTATATTCGTCTATTTTAGTACAGATATGCATTAGAAAAAGAATGTCTATGAATGAAAAGATCAAGTTATGTTTTGCCCTTTTTACTCTTTTTTAGGTGGAGTAGATAATGAAGCAGAAAAAGACTCTAAAGAAGTCAGAAAATCAATTCACGTTGTGGAGGGAAGTGAATCAATAAATGCATGGTAATATCTCCTTCAACGGCCTAATTTATCAGGTTTCAGGAACTCTGCATAATTTACTGATATATGTACATATTTCCTAAGAAGAAAAGATTGAAAAAAATGATGTTGAAGAATGAAGGTATGAAGAGAAAATTAACGGGAGTATTTCATTTTCTTGGAAAATGGGAAAGGGAGGGGTGGGGGAGAAGGAGAGCACTAGAATTTCAAAGGCTAAAAAAAAGTGTGGTTTTTCACTTCATATATATATATATATATATATANACAGCATGAGATTTAGTGATTGAACGAAGAAGTTGCAACTTCTCATGCAATACTGCCGCTCTTTTCTGCTCCCTAGATACCATTCTCTTCTCTTCTTTTCTTTGCTTTCTTTCTATCTTTCTTTCTCTATTCTCTCTTTCTAAGTGCTGCTCTCTTTAAAGAGAGGGAAAAGGAGCTCTCAAATCAATATCAGCTCTTTGTTTGCTTCCCACATGGCTGCCTCTCATGAGCGCAGTTTCTTATTCACACAAAAACTTCAAATTGTCATATTATTATCCAAGATGCCCTTTGGATAAGAAACATATATAACAAAAATAATTCACTGTCCTTTTAAGACAAAATAAGGACTTCAAAAGCTTAATCAATATCTAGGGCAATGTAATTTGTAGATAAGGGCAACTACGAAGACTTGTCCAAGATAAAATGATGAAAGTTTAAAAATGGAATATTATGATGGTTAGACGTAATTTATTATTACTAAAGTCGAGGATAATTGTCCAGTTGCTTTATCATTTTCTCTTTAATTATCACAGGATCCAATTGTTAATTTTTCGTAACAAGTGACCATCATACATACCGCTTTGTATTACATTTTCCAGTAAACGAAGCCTTTGATTCTAGCTTTTCAAACAGTAACATAGAAATCCTTCTTTCTTTCTTTTTTTGTTGCATTTTGATCGATGTCATTAATTAATATTCCTAGTTTAGACTATATATGCTGATTAAAAACCAAAATTCAGAGTAAGAAAGTATAATATCAACGTTACTTTATACACTAAAAATGTAAACATACACTCTCAGCTCATTTGTAATCAGTTCGACGTAAGTATTTATAATAAGTATATATGGATTTATTACCCATAAAAGACTGTAGGAGATCTTTTACCACAGTTCAAATAATATTAAAAAAATGTATATACTGTCAATATATATATTTAAAATACAGTAGAAAAGGAGGTGAAATGATAATAATATAATTGAATGTCTAGATGGAAGTAATACTTTAGAAAAACCATCTAGCAGTGAGATGGAGAGTGGGGGTTAGGATATTTAGAGTGGTGAAAAACATAAAAGGATTGGAAGGGTGAATAAACCATGCATATATAGTTTATAAAATATAGAAAGTAATAAAGGGAAAGCATGAAAAGAAAAAGGGTAGATGTTTATATTTTTGTGAATTTTGGATGAATCCAAATAGTTTTCACGGGGAATTTGGAGTTCCCCCTTTTCTCCAGCCGTCACCTTTGTCTTCACTCCTCAGTCCTCCTCCTTTCCTCTCTTTCTACACGTGCCTTTCTTCCTCAATCACTATTTTTCCCCCTTTTTTTTCAAATAAATATCTCTGTCTCAACTCTTATCATTATTTGACATATATATATACTGAATAATATGCCTAATGCATGATTAATTTGCTTTTTTTACCGTTCTACCGTACACACTACAATTAGCAGTATCATGGCATCTCGTGATCATATTGGAATACTATATATGTATACACTTAATTCTGTTTTTAGTTCTTTGCCATGTCATATTATCCCCCACGCACACACACACATTTAAATCTGATCATTTCTCAAATGGAGAACCAAGAAAAGTGATCATTATATCTAGAGCTAACGTAACTTGATATCAACACATTGTTTCTGTACTATATAGGCTCCCACGAATTCACCAAAATTACCTCGCTCCTCATATATAACACAAAAACAAAATTGAATCTTGATGCCTTGTCATTATCTCCTGTGCAAAGCCAAAAACCGTAACGCCGTATATAATAACATGATTCGTCGAGCCAATAGGGTAACAAATTGTTCACGAACTATATATTGGTGAAACAATCAAGCTAAGTAGATCTAAAAATTCAAAATAAACTGAAAACATCGAGACAACAGGAATCAAGGAAACAGGAAAACGGCCCATGAACTTCGTTTGGATTTAATTAATAAAAGATACAAACTATATAGAGATAGAGAGAGAGAAGATAGAGTATATTGTAAGTAGGAGTAGGGGGAGGTAGCTAGTATCCAATATATCTCCACAGAATGGTGTCACGAGATGTTATCAGTATTGCAAATAGGAACAGTTCATTAATAAGGAAGTTGGCATAAGGTTCTTGCTTCAAAGATTGTCTCCATTCCTCAAGGACAAATGCACGTACCCAACCTCTTCACATGTTCCCCTTTTATCATTACTACAAAACAATTCTCTCCATACATTTCTCCTGCTTCAACCTTGTCTCTTCCTCATTTCTCTGTTAATTTTGTTCCCTCTCTAACCCTTTTGTTAATTATTAGCTAAACTAATAAATAGTGTTTATCTCTTATCTTTCCTCCTAGTAATTTTGTCATATAATCACCACTAGCTAGCCTACGCGTCATACGAACCATGGCAGTGGCGGAGACACTCTTTACTTCAGGGTGTCATTAATTATCAGACACCGTTTCGCAAAATATTTTTCTTATATATGTATGTAAATAATATTGTTGTAAAAACAAACATGTATGCACGCAATATACTGGCATAGCCTAGAAATAATATCAAATACTCCCTCCGTCCCAATTTATGTGGTTGTTTGCGAATTTCAAGAGTCAAATGAGTTAACTCTTACAGTGAATCCTGACATAAAATCTTTAAAAAAATTGAAATAAAATATATTTGAAAACTATGTGAAAAGTACAATAAATCACAATAATTAATATTCAAAATATTTAAAAGGCGTGTGAAAAAATCACGGTAAAAATAATTCGTTTGACTCTCGAAATTTGAATACTGCCACATAAGGAGGGAGTAGTAAATATCAATTTGAGACCGGAAATAATATCACGTCTCAAACCCATATCTACTTACGAAATAAATTGTGACAAAAGGCTAGCATTGCTTGTGCAAAATCATGTGTATATGTCACTGCAAAAAGTGTAATATAAGGAGAGAAGATGTATTCGTATTTGAAATCTCGGAAGAATTTCGTTTAATCACTAAAAGGTTGAAATGTATATGAAGGAGACGTATATCGCTATATCTACTCCTCTCCGCACTAACCAATATGTAAAAAATCGTGTGTCATCCTGTGTCTTATAAACTGCTTGTTGATTTATCTCAAAGATGCAACTCTTGGCACCGTTTCGGTATTGACACAGTAATTGCCACAATAAGTAGCAGTAGTCAGCTTATGTTTAGGACAAGAAACGACCAAGATTTAGAGGATGCCGAGTTTGAATTGATGTCTCTTAAACAGATGTATGAAATGGAAAAATAGTTATCGGATCCTATTAGTCTAATGGATATGAAACAATGCCAGGAACTGAACTTTTTCTTTTATTTAAAATTCAAATACAAAAGCTGAAAAATGAAGAAAGAGAACATATAATTTGACGAACAAAACGTAATTTACTACGTACAAATTAGGGAAGCCAAAATTAAAGTTATCCCTGAGAATACACATTGTAGGATTCTCAGGTAAAGCCCTCACGTGAGTTGAGGAGAGTATCACTTCGGGAAAGTACATTCACATGCAAATGTGACAAAAACAAAGCAAATCTGTATTTAAATTGCAAAAGTTAAGTGATAAAGAGAGAATGTACGGGAATGGTGGGGGCCTATTTCTATATACACCACATGACAAAAGAGTCTCTTTGGAGTTTGAACTAATGAGCTAAGTTATTAACAACCTTTCTTCACATTGAAAATTATTTGTTTTTCCTTCCAGAAAATGCTTCCTCTAGTTTCTACCTTCTAGTAAAATACATACTTGAAAAGTGTCCCTATTGCTTGTAGCCTCTTAATACGGGGACGTGCAGGTATATTCTCCCCGCAAAATCTCTTAATCTTATAATCTTTGCATCCCATATAAGCCACAAGACTCTACAGCTATAGGTTTTTTGTACTCTTCTAACAGAATACTATTTTGAGATCGTATACCAAAATAACTATTGGTATCAGAGGAACGAACTATTGGAGTTTCTTACCCAATCTTGGATGACACAGGCTGTAGTGTGAGGACCATTGCTTCCTCCCATGTACAAATGTGTGTGTGTAACTTTTTAAAATTTTGTTTCATACACAAGATTGATCACCCCTTCTAGGAATATTTGGGCCATAATAAGGTCCCGGTTCTTGAAATGAATATGAATCATTATTTCACAAGACAATAGGAATATGTATGTTCCCCATTTCCTACGACATGTAGCCAAATTACTGAAGGAACAAATTGATCGAGCACCAGATGACATGGTCATAGACAAATACTCATTTGCATTGCTGGACCGTCGAACAAAGAATCCGAAGCATATATGTCCTGTTGATACTTGTCCAGACATCTGAAATCAAATCTAATGGCCCCCATTTGTTTCATGCTCAGTGGTATAGAATTCCGGCCATTTAAATCTAGCTAAGTTCAAGATCACACAAATTTTGCTAAATTTCTCATGTGCACAATGACATTGAAGAGAAAAGTAAACCGTGTAGTCTTGCCAAGTGCATCTTCTAACTTTGACTCAGGTCATTTAGGGGTTGGATTAACTCTTGGATACAATTCGACATTCATCAATCCATTTAGGAACTAAAAGGTCCAAATGGACATAACTTCTGTGCTTGTCCGTTCTTCGCATGTCATAAAACCATGAACATTCACTGGCAAAACAGATCTTGTGTGTCATGGCAACTTTGCAAGGCATCCGGATTATTTTTCTATCCCAATGCCCCTTGAAGAGTTTACAACATTATAGCAGAATTCCTTCACTAGCAAGTAGCAATGCTTAAGATCCCATTAAACAAGGTAGCTATTACTTTTGAAGGTGTGGAGGCATAACCATGGCTCTCTAAAAGAGGACATGTAACACAAATTACATGTAACAACCATGAAAGGATTCTCTTAATTTTGTTCAGGAAAAAAACAAATTCTTAAAGGTCAGCGATCTAATAAAACATCTATGTAAGACGTTATTTCCACGTTTTAAGAGAATGATAGGAATCTCAAGACCTTATATCATGTGATAAATCTTGAAATCTACTCAACAAATTTGACTTGTAAGTCCCGAGTTCAGCATCCTCAGGAGACTCGGGGGTCGACCTGATGATTGATGCCGCTCCAGCTTGATGTAAGACCATAGCAGCCTCATCTGCAGTATAAGAATGAGCACTAAATGATACTTCCATTCTAACAGACATACAAGCATAGATCAGAAGTGAATTGGTCTAAATTGGTCTTAATCTCCGATTAGCTTGATCAGGCAAAATAGCATAAGCTAGCAAGGGCCATATAAATAAAATAAAACGTCTCCTCACATTCAATGTTATATATAAAGAAAACTGGCCAAATTGTACGGCGCTCTTTTGCCATAAATACACGTCTAAAAGATCACAAGCACCACAGAGTTTCCTTTTAAAGCTGAGAATTCCTTAGCCTGGGGTTGATTTCGTAAGTACTGGCGCCAAGGTTAACCGGGCTTCTACTGGAAACTATGCAATTAAAGTGACCGTGTTTTAAAAGTTTGGTAGTATAATTAAAGCTTCTAAGCCAGCGCATTTAAAGCTAATTTTTGTTCCGCATTATTTAGTCTATAGCATGGAAGTATGTATCATTTTGGAAGTGTCCAGAGATTACTCAATCACAGAATTTTTTGGTCTAACCAATAGGTAGAAGAACTGCCAAGAGGTTCAACCAATAAGCAGACTCCTCTCATTAACATTTCTTTAGAGCGTGAAGGATTATGGTGCTATGAGCTGGAATTAGGGTGCTAGTCTCTGACAGCTCGATGAATTTTGTCTATAGAAGTTCTGTGGCTAGATTCAGGATGATAGCACCAAACTGGTGGTTTGATATAAACAGGAAGTCTTCCGCGTGTATCCTTCACTCGTGTTATATACAGTTTTATCCAAAAGACGGGAAAATGGAGTGATCAGCTGGTAAAAATCCTGCACTTCTCTGAGTAACTACCAAGATGGGACAATCAATTAACACTTCTCAATGCAGCTTCTTCGTATATATTAAAGTCTCTGAGGAGATTACGATTTTCTGCATATAAAAAGTCAACAAATAGTAATGAAGTATGGCTCCATGATCATCCATGCACAGTATATTGCATTTGCCTTCAAGGAACTCACAAGAAGTTGAACAGCAGAAGCAAGGATACTGAGATTGTGTTTCAGAAATTAATGATAGAAGTAAAATGAAGCTGAAAGAAGGTCAAATTCTCAGAAACGTGGAGAACTTTTTGTAGTTTTTGGTTTCCCTGATATCCTAACAATGCTCAATGTGGAACCGTAATACCGTATGTCCAAATAACACATAAAGTGCATCCACAGAGCAGTGATTCAGCAGCAAAACATGACCAGCAGGCCTCGGACAAAGGGAGGAGGCCCCGTTTGCAGAATCAAGGGGGAATCCTCATGACTCCAGTTTGGAAGGGTGGTCAGAAGGCTGCGTCCGGCAAGGTCTCCTTTGCTCAACCTGTTCAAACATTGGAAGCAAGGAGGAAGAAAGGGAGTGAGAGGGACTATGGGTGTTGGTGAAGGAGGGGATTTGAAGCAGGGGAAGCAGGTGGCTGGGCTATTGGGATTTACTGCTGGCGAACAAAAGGGGGATGGGGACCAATACTGTGACCAAAAGTAAGGGTAAAGGGTACTTATGCGGTAGAAATTCATAGAGTAAAAGGAAGAAGCAGAGTGGGCAGGGGAAAAATCCTTGGCTTTGGGGAGTTCATAAGGGTCACTAATGGACAGATTAACTACAGCTTTCTTTCAACAATGCTGGAACATAGTAAGGAGAGGCGACGGAGACGATCAAAGCAACTCCAGGAGCATCCGAAAAGTTCGAAAGGAGCCTCAATGCCTCTTTCTTAGCCATCATACCGATGAATGAGGAAACACAAACTATCGGTGGGTATAATGTTGTTAGTCTAGTACGAAGTTCCATAAGATAGTTAAAAAGGTGCTTGTCAATTAACTAAAGAAGGTACTAGGTGAGACAAATAAATTTTGGACGTTGTGCTCATGGCAAATGAATCAGTAGACTCCAGTAGGAAAAAGGGCCACAAGGCATCTTATGCTAGATCTGGCATATGAATTGAGACATCTTGGACCATGTGAAACAAATAATAGGATATGGGGAAACTAGAGAAAGTGGATAAGTGAGATTTCCCGTGCTGGTTAACAGCAACGAATGGTTTCTTCCAAGCTCCAGCAGCCTACGACGGGGAACCGCTTTCCCCTACGTTGTTCATATTAGTCATGATGGCATTGAGTAAGATGATGGACACAACTGTAGAAGGATGATACTTAAGGGGATTCCCAACCAAAGCAGAGGGCAGAATGTACAAGAAACATAGGTACAAAGAGACAGGTCTTGCTAAGGTTTCAAACAGTATCAAACTTTAAGATCAACAGGACAGTGCAAGATCATCCCTGCGTTAGAAATAGGCAACATTGGAGCATTACTAACAACCTATCTTGTCCTACCGCTTGGCGCGTCAAACAAGGACCCGGCAGTATGGAAATCCAGTAAATGAGAGGGTGGAAAAAAGACTAATGGGTGGCAAACAAGCTACTTGTCAAAAGAGAGGGAAAAGGTACTGATTAAGAGCATCTTATCAAGCATCCCAACATACTCTATGTCTCTCATGCATACTCCTGCAGCAGTCATGGAAAAAATAAAGAGGATTCAAAGGAGTTTCATGTGGAATACTAAGAAGGACAAAAAGTTACATTTAAAAAAAATGTCACATCTAGTCAGTGGGAAGGTGGTCACATCTCCAATCAGTCACTCGCTATGGGATGGGGCGAAGGAAGGTGTTACATACTCCCTCCGTTTCAAAAAGAATGAACCAGTGTTGTCAAAGGTGCGCTTAAGCCCTAAAGCGAGGCTCAAAACATGTTGAGCGTTTCGCCTCGCTTTGCGGGTACTTCAGTGTCGCATCAAGGCTCTAAGGCATATTTTTTTTCTTGTCAATGAGTGTAATCCTAAAAAGGCAACTCTGAACAATTGATAATTTCAACAAAAAAAATCTTGTCAATGAGTATGTTTTCCACCATGTTCAAGATCTGCCGCTCGAAAACAGAAAAAGTAGCATAACACTTACGACTAAAAGGTAGTCGAATGATATGAGAAATAAGGTTCTTAACAAGATATGAAGATGAGCGAGTTCCAAATTTTCATGGACCTACTCTCCAGAAACATTACTCGAACAGATCAGGAAGTTCTGGTTGTGGTCCAAAAAGAGGAAAGGCGCCGAGCATTCATGCTTATCAATTTGGATCCCTTGGCACCAAAGCAGATTTGCTTCTTCATTTGGCTGGTAGAAAAGAGGCGATTCCGTATCAGACAATCTGAGGAAGAAGAGGACAGCTTATATCTACTGGTGTTTCATGTGCAAGAGATTGGGATAGAATGTAGACCACTTGCTGCTACACTGTTAGGCTGTAAGTCAGCTATGGTGGACGATGATTGATGTATTTAGCAGAGTAGGCAATGCCAGCCACGGTGAAGGACATGATATATAGCTAGATATTTAGAAGAAGAAAAGAAGTAGAGCATGAGATGTAGCTCCTCTAGCGACAATGATGGTCATTTGAAGGGAGAGAAATAGGAGAGTTTTTTAAGCAGTGCAAAACAATTTTTTATAGATGAGAGCATAGGAGAGTTTTTTAAGCAGTGCAAAACAATTTTTTATAGATGAGAGCAAGCCTATTGTTCTTCCTTAATTTTTGGAGAACGCATGAAGTTCAAGATAGTACAGATTAATCGGTGCTTTTTGTAGAGGATCAGATTTTTGTGTACAGTTCTCTACTTTTGTCTACCTTTTGTATACCGAAGCATTTTAACCTATGCATTAATAAAATCTTCACTTAATACAAAAAACGAAGTTTGCATCAATAGTGATATTTTTAATCTTAAAACAAAATAGTGATCTTTTAGATCACTCAAACACTTTCCCCATGGATTAAGACCTGGGACCAGTGAATTGCAAGCATAATTAGTCACCAACTTCACTTAATAAAGAAGGAGAACTAAGTTTATGTTCAAAGGATAAAGAATGTATTTGCCACATTATCTGTTGGCTATTGCTTGGGTTTGCAGATAAGTGCCTGGGAAAAGAGGCAAATGCTCTCATCTAGGTAGCTAAAGATATCGCTTTCCGGAAACATATCCACTTTGGGGAACCAAGCTAACAGATACTTAAGTGGTGTAAACAACAATGATAATAATTTTGTAACGGTTCAAAGCTCACTCAATTGACTTGTGTGTATTGTTATTGTAAAGGGAAAGTTTGGATAATCGTCCGATTATGTCCTGGCTTATTCTTAAAATTTTCAAAATAGCGGCTTGAGCATTCCTACAAATACTAGTTTATTCCCATATTCAACAAAAAACTGTCTTGAGCATCCGTGAGTACAGACCGCATTATGCAAATTGCAGATAAATTTGGATCCTGACCTGATTTAGATATTGCAAAAAGAGCCTTCAAGGCTTCCTTCCTCGTGCGATCATCTCTAGCAGCCTCTAACATGTTCAAAAGATGTTGAGTCCCACCAATTTCAACTATCTTCATCCTTCTTTCATCTAGGAAGCAACAAAGCACAGGGATAGAAGATTCACTTATAAGTGTCTCATAAAATCTCAAGTTTGGTCCAAACAGCTGTTGAATATGCTTTGACTACAAACTTCAAATATTGCACTTTAAGCAAAAACTGTAACCTACATCGCGAGACGGTTACAAGATATCATATAGAAATAAAGCAGCATGTAGATCCTCTTAAGTTGTATAATGTATTAGATCTTTAAAGACAAGCAAATGCTATTTAAGAAACACAGCTGCCTTCGCCATAGTACCAGGAAAAGGAACAACAATCAAATACATTATACCGGTTGACTAGGGTACTAAAATCTAAGGTACTAGAGTAGTGTCGATCTTATTTTGGGACAATGAAAGGAATTTCCTAGTTTTGTACAATTAATCAGTAGGGAGTTCCATTAGCTTTAAGTTTCACAGGAAGGTGATGCAGTAAATAAATCTCGAAGATTGGGGAAAGCATCCAGATTCAAGGGACTCGGCTCCACAGAATTGTTGTCCAGCATGTTGATTATTTTGATATAAGAGGATGCTGTGGAGGTTAACAACATCAGTTAAATTTAAATGAGCCTCTAACAACACAAAAAGGGTGCAACCTTCCTACACTCACACAATAGCTATTTTGGCTTTCAGATACCAATTATAGCTTTTCTTTACTACTTATCTTCCCATCAACCTTAAAGCTTAATTGATAGCTCCTTACTATCTCAAATCAAAGACATATCTGCAGCAATTACTAAGAACATCAAATTCCTTACAATGTGCACCAAATTGCCAGCATATACTTCAACCCCATTAAAGGATTGTGTATACTTCAACCCCATTAAAGGATTGTGTAGGCATAACTGCTCAATTGCCAAAATACTGTGACACAAGCTTACCGTCTATAGCAAAACGAGCTAATCTGGATGCACCCATTCTTTTAAATAAGGGATCTTTGACTTGTAAAAGTGAGACAGACTGCTGCATCAAATTGTCTCCTATATCAGACATTAATATGCCAAAGAGAAATCAGACAAGGCAAGAAATTAAATATGGTTTAAATGATTCATTTAACCATAGAAATGAGACCTTACCCATGTATGGGAAAATCTGATACCCAATAACTGTAGCAGTCCCAGCAAAAATTAATTTTAAGAGCCACCCTACTTTTTTCTCAGCTTCTTGTTCTATTGACCTTTCATCTGCAAAATCAATCAAACTACAAATGTTAAAGCATTCCAGTGGTATGAACTCACGAACTGTAACCATAACCAGACTTTGCATAACGAAAAGCTAGAAAAGAACACTGTTTCATGTTTGATCCAATGTACCTATAGAAAGGTTTCGGACTTCTCATTATGTTTCATATTGGCCCAAGGCTATTCTGATATCCGCAAAAAGAATTGTCATTTATCTTCTATGTTTTTTGACAAATTGAAATCCAAAAATTAAACTAAGAACAGCTAGGCAAACACCGGGGAAGTAACAAGATCCCCAATTTCCAGAATAAATCATTTGTTTTAGTATCTTTACTTAACTGCACAGCTCATTTCTATACTTGGTGAATAAAAACATACAAAATCTCTTGAAAAATAACTCATTAAAGAAGTGGCAATATCGAAAATTTGTGGCATAGCCCTAAAATCCATCCAAAAGTTCAAAATAAATGTTACCAAAGCCGGAAGTAGAAAAATTCCGGGGCTGTAAATTTATAGGCTTTCTCCTCCATAGATACTGCATTAACATCATTATGAAAGTCCATCAACAAATGAAAACAATGAACATTGCAAGATAAAAAAATGTAAATTGATAAAATTCCAAGTTAAGAACTTACAGGGGTGAGTCGCGCTGCTATTGTGCGCATGCTGCTAGGTGAAGAATAGTGAATCCCTCCTGGGTTTTGGCTGTATAGCGAAATTCACTCAGACGAAATTATTAGAGTGGCGGGGGACTTGACTAATTAATGAAAGTGATAACTTCAATATTGATATAGTAGTACTCCCCCCTCCACTTGATTTTTTTTTTGTCAACAGACCAAATTATACTAGGCTCTTTCAATTTATGTAACTCATTTGACTGGGCACGAAATTTAAGAAAAGAGATAAACTTTTTAAATTTGTGGTGTAAAATGAGGCACATATATTTTGTGTGGCTATAAATCATTACATAAAGATAAATTGTTTCCAAATAAGGAAAGAAGTCATTCTTTTTTACACGGACAAAAAAGAAAATAAGTTCACATAAATTAAAACGGATTGAGTATTAAAGATGAGAGCCAATACAAGGAGCATTGTGGATGCTTTGCAGATTGTTACAAAAAGGAGTGTCATGACCAGTCAAATGGTCCCTAGACTGTTCTACAATATTATCGCCACTATCATATTCAGTAATACAAAAATACATGTTGTTTGTTGATGTAGGCATTGTTGTGTTTCTTAAGTAGACACTGCCTAATAGGTCGTCCATAAGTTTCTCATTCAAAAAGTTTGGTGATTGGTGCAGAATGAGAGTCTGTTCTGGTGAGTTTTGTGTGGTTCCATATTGTACAAGTTCATTTATAATATGATTGTGCTCCCTATATGTGTGCTTGATACATGGGTTACCCAGCTTGTGTAGCAAATACCTACATTCCAGTAGCAAAGATGAGTAGTGTAAATTGTGATGGATTAGCATAGATATTACCTCTGCGAAATCCACGTTGATTTCTAATGGGACGAAGTGATGATGTCATGCTAATTGCAATCTCTATAGTAATGCACATAATTCCATATATGTAGAGTTTCTTGTGGGTCTTGCGCCCATGAATCCAAGTAACCAATTGCCCATGTCATTTCTAAAAACTCTGACTATACCATTTCTAGGGGGTCGTCCTTTAGAAGATCTGTCGGTTAATTTAATAATTTCATTTGTTGATGGGTTTCATTTGACATACATGGGTGTGACGGTCGATTTTTTGTGTATGTTCCTGCATAATATAGTTATATTCAGCTGTTTGGGAAATTAATTGCTGAATTTTCGGGGTGGGTGGGTGGTGTTGAAAAGATAAACAAGTTACGGAGGTTCCATATATGCCATGTTGTATTTGGAATTAATATCGTGAAGGTAGGTTTAGCGGAATATTATTTGTGGTATGGAGTAATGTATTAATGATTTGAATATGGTGGGTATTTTGGTATATCCATGCAGTGTAGAGCATTTGTTAGGCCTAATTGGGCCCATATGTATTGAGCGCTTGGACATTGGAAGAGTAGATGATTAACTGTTTCATCACTTTGTAGGCAAATTGTACAGATGTTTGAAGTGGTGATATGTAATTTATAAAGGTGAGTGGCAGTGGGCAGCCGTTTGTAGGAAATCAACCACAGAAAAAGAATTATTTTAGATGGTAGTTTTAATTTCCAAAGCCAAGTATATGAGTAGTGGTTATGAGCGCCAGTTAATTCTTTATAAAGAGATTTTATTGAGAATTGTCCTAAGGAGGTAAGACCTCATAGTATATGGTCAAAAGAATGTAGGTTAGTTAGTGGTGGTACATAAATTTGACGGATTAAGGATAGAGTTTCTATAGGTAGGTCAAAAGGCAAATTTGTAGTATTAATCATATTGTTGGTGATGTGTTGATTGACCTTGGAACCATCTTCGTGGTTGGGTAAGGGACCTTCAATAACATATCTAAGTGTGATATTTGGTCCTATCCAAGGTTCGTTCCAAAAGTTAATATGTTGACTTGTAGCAATATGCCAAACAATTCCTTATTGACAAAATTTCTAACCTAATTGGATGGCTTTCCAGGTTTGTGAAGATTGGTTTGGGTGAGTAGAGTTGATATATTTAGCGAGTAGTAATGAAGCCCATAGTGAGTTAGGGGATTTAAAAAGGCGCCATGCTAAGTTTCCTAGTAGAGCATTATTCTTGACGGTCAAATTTTGAATGCCTAGTCCTCCTTGACATTTTGGCTGTTGAACTGTAGACCACTTTATGAGGTGTATTTTCTTTTTAAGCTGAGTTGTGCCCCAAAGTAGATTACGTTGGTAATGGTTCATTTTGGATATGACTTGTTGTGGGAGTTTAATGAGTTGCATTACATGATTAGGGAAAGTATTTAACGTAGATTTGATGAGGGTAGTCAGACCTACCATTATAAGCATATTGACTTTTCACTTTGCCAATTTTGCTTTAAAGTTATCAAGGATGACCTAAAAGTCGGATTTGATGGGTCCTTGTGTGAATAGGGAAAAGCCTATGTATTTCCCAAATTGGACTCCTTTCATACTAAAGGAATCTAGGACAAAAAATTTATCAATTTGTATGACATTTTTTTAGAAAATTTTTTTTGACTTTATATAATTAATACTTTGTCCTGACTTTTTGTGTGTATTGGTTAAGAGTATCTATAATGGAGTGGACACTTGTAGTTATTAGTCTTGAAGTTAGTATAATATCATCGGCAAATAATAGGTAAGAAACTATTGGGCCATTTCTCGATGCCTTTATGGGCTTCTATTGTTGGTAATCCACGACAGTATGTATTTGACGTGATAAATGCTCCATACATAATATGAAAATATAGGGAGATAAGGGGTCACCTTGGCGTATTCCCCTTGTTGGTGAGAAGTACGGTGTTGGGTGACCATTTAGTAGGATAGATATAGAAGCGGTACTGATGCACGACATAATCAGGTTTATGAATTGGATTGGGAAGTTAAAGAAGTGCAATGTTTCTTTAATGAAACTCCATTCTATTTTATCGAAAGCTTTTTTTAGATCTAGTTTTAGTAAGAAATTAGCTTGTTTACCTTTCTTTTTACTAAAGGAATGTAGCATCTCTTGGACTATGATGGCATTATCTGACGCACGTCGCCCTTTTAAAAAAGCTAACTGTCTGAGGTTTATTATTTTTATTATAATAGGCTTTAGTCTAGATACTATTATTTTGGTAATTATTTTATAGATAGTATTGCAAAGGCCAATGGGCAGGTATTGAGTAATGGAGGATGGATGTTTGACATTGGGGATAAGACATAGATAGGTCTTATTTATTTGTGATGGAATATGTTGATTTGTGAATACCTGGTTACAAAAGGAGATGACGGAATGGGCAATTCGGGGCCAGTAGGTTTGATAGAAGTAAGGGTGTAGGCTATCTGGCCCCAGAGCTTTAAGTAGTTAAAATGAGGTTACTGCATGAAATATTTCCGTTGTGGTATGGCACGAGTCAGATTGGATTGATCCGTAGTAGTGAGTGTTTTATATGTAGATGTACCGTAAGATTTTATGGAATGGGTGTGGGTTGTTATGAATAAAGTTTATAATAATGGAGGATCATATCATTGACTTTGATTGTTCAAGAATCCAATTACCACGTGTATCATTGAGAGCGGTTATGCGATTTCTTCTCCTTCTTTGAAGAGTAGTGAGGTGGAAAATTTTGGTATTTGCATCTCCTTGTTGAAGCCAGTTTATACGTGATTTTAATCCCCAAAAATTTTCTTCAAGTCGTAGCAGGTCATTATAATTATTAAGAAGATTGATTTCTAGATATTGGAGAAAGGTGCTTATGGGGTAACTATGGGAGGATTGAATACCAAAAATTCTGGCTAATAATTTTTTTTGTTTTTTAAAAAATATTACCATGAGTAGTTTGGTTCCATTCCTAAACTTCTTCTGTGAAATCATCTATTGCTTGTAGTAGGCCCTTATTAGGATACCAGATATGAGTAATTATGGAGAAAAATTATGGATGTGAGGTCCATATTGTTTCAAATCTAAAAACTTTTTTTTCGGTGAAATGTGTATTTTAATTTAAGTAATAAAGGGCAGTGATTGGAGTGTGTTCTAGGTAGATGTTATACATTTGCTTTTTGAAATAAGTTAATCTGGTCATAGTTGCATACATACCTATCTAGTCGTTCTAATATTCTATTTGCTAGACAACGTTTGTTGGTCCAGGTATAGCGACTTCCTCTATATCCTAAGTCCAATAACTGACAATGGTTAACGCATAAATTTATTGCATCTATTTTTACTAATAGGGTTGCCTCCAAATTTCTCTGTTGCTCGTACTACTTCATAAAAATCCCCTCCAATTAACCAAGTTATGTTAATAGTGTCATGCAAGGCCATTAGGTTAGACCATAAAGTTGAACGTGCATGTAAATCAAATTTTGCATATACTACTGAAAATAGCCAAGTAGTAAGGTTTGGTGGTACATGGACAATGGAATGAATTGCTTGAGATGTGACCTCTATTTGATCAAGTTGTAAAATATCCTCATGTCACAGTAATGTAATACCTCCCGACTATCTTTCTGCTAGTACATGTGCCATGTTAGTAGAACCAAATTCTTCTTTCAAGTGAGTATGGCATTGTAGATGAGTTTCCAACAGTGCCACGAGTGCAGGTTGATAGTAGTTGAGTAGAGATAAAATATTTCTCTTAAAATTCGGTGATTGTGTTTCTCTACAATTTCAAATGATGAACTGCACTTGCTTACTGTTGAAGGGTGGTGGTGACAAGTTCTGAGTCTCCTCCACTTGTGTTGCCGTCATTTGTGTCATCGATGGAATCATCACTATCCCATATTTCTCCATCTCTTGATTAGTGGCTGGTCGAATATTTAGGGAACAACTTCTTAGTTCCTTGGGGTAAATTATTACTACTTTTCTTGCATACTGCTCTTTGAGGATGTAAGATTTATTGTCATTGAGGAGGTATAATATTGGCCTTGTTTCCCTGATGTCCGCCATTGTCGTTGTAACTTTGAGTTGTTCTATTTCGTCTAGACTCACTGGTTGAGTTACTAGTTGACACGGTGACACTTGTGCATGTAGTGGGGTTGGAATAATGAGGATCGACCCGGGTTGTATCCATGGAACTATGGAATGATATGGGAGTTGAGGTGGGTAGAATGGTAGTTATATGGGTTATGGTAGTAATTGGTAATGGTTATATTGGTGGTTTGTCTCCTGGTGGTGATATAATAGTGGGAGTAGTGTGTGGTATTGGT